GTATATCAAACAGGCTTTCGTAAAAGGTGGGAAGCACACACCGTACAATGCTCCAGTTTTTGCTTGGTGAATTCACACTGTTGGCAGTCTGACCGCTAGAGGGCACTATCCAATTTTCTTTAAGTGGTCGCCACCGTCTTTTCTATAACTTTGTTACAAATGAATATCGCAAGCTGTTGGTTTATTTAAATGTGGAAAGTGAAAATATATTTTTCTTTGAAAAGATCAGTCATCTCCAGCCCAGTTGCGAATAAAAATATCTTAACAGACCTCGAACACAGAAACGCTTTATATTTGAGTCATAGACCCAGGATCTTCTGAATTTCTGATTTTTGCACGCTAAAGGATTTCACAATTATTTCTTTTCGATCTGACAAGGTAATACAGTCAAGCCTTTGAACAAGTAGTTTACAGGTTTTCTCGGTACATGCATGCAAAATCAAGGGTAAATTTGAAATTAGGTTGTGAGTCCTTCCATTTTCAGGTTTAGGGTTATCTTCTTGCACCCAGACAGTCATAATTTTGGGAATATTTCTTTCTCCTTACAACACCGTTTTAAAGGGGTCTCTTGTTTGATCTCTTTAAGCGATGTAGGAACAGACACCGGTGTCTCTTTGTATGGTGTCTTGAACTACCTATCCCAGTGCAGTAAATCTAAAATACATCTTTGGGTTCATAATGAAACTTCATAAAGAATGACAAATCCCAAATTTCCTCCCATCACTAGCTGACTAGGCTATAAATGCCCCCTCAACATGCTAAACGCCACCTCCAATTCCACAGCCCTTTGGTGTATGATGGGGATGACGTCTTTGGTCACACGATCAGCCGATTATCCCACAAATCCAGAAATGTAAAGCCAGACGTATCGAGAAATTTTCATTCATTGTTGCCATGGTGTAACTGGGGTTTGTCTGGACCAAATGAACCTACAGCTGCTTCTCAGGACAAAAAAAAAATCAGATTGAGACTCCATATGTATGTATGGGATAATAAAAACCCCAAGAATACTATGACATTTGTGCAGTATGGCATAACCAGATTATGATAGGGACAATATTGTTGTCTGTGGTACTGGGATCATCTGCTGTCTCTTCAGTGACGATTCAGAACATCCTGAGTGACCCTGAGCAAAAGCCCTTGTAAAAACGTTGAGCCTTTGACTCTGGGAACATTATTTAACCGAAGCCCTGGTCTGTGTAGATCCTGTCGTTCAGTCACTGAAGTGGTTGTAGGATAGACACGATACCAGTGGCAGCGATAGTAAGGGTAGAAGGGGAAGAGAATATTACAGCAACAGAGAAAGTAACAGTAGTAACCCAGAGGGCAAGCTGACTGGCCGAGGCCCAGAGCAGGTCAGGTTACCCTGCTTGCTTCAGAGCCAGAGGTGAGAGCACAGCAGCAGTTGTCTGGCTGGGACTGACTGGTCCCAGGACAGCAAAGGAGCTGGTTTTCTCAGCTGGCTGGTATCCACCCACCCCACCTCAGCCAAGGCCAGACAGTGCGCACGGAGTAGGGGCAACAGCCCCCCGCCCAGGGGAGGTTATTTACAGCCTGGAGCTCTGGCACAGCCATGTGGCAGCTCACTGATTTCCCAGTGCTCTCACAGAAGATACTGTAATGTAGCCCGATACTCCTACCCGCAACAACACAACGGCTGACGAGCCTGTGACAGCTTTATGGGCGTTTCGTAATCCATACAGAGGAGGGGGGGGGGGGTGAGGTGGGGATTGGGGTAGAGATTTTGGAGATCGCCTGAGCCGAAGCCACATCTGTGGTACAGAGTATGAGGGAGAGGACTGCAGGTCTTCAAGGTACTTGTTAATTACTTAACAAAACCCTACAAAAACAAGGTGCAAACCCTTCATACGTTTTAATGCCCCCAGTTCTCACCCAGGCCTGTGTGCAAGTTGTGCAATGTTTTGTTTGTGCAATAATGTTCAGCATTGTGTTACAGAGTCAAGTGCAGGTGTCAAGGCACTGTCAATCGAGAGTATCCATGGCTGTAAATGGATATTATGGGTATTGGGGCATCATCAGGGAAGTGAACATCATCAGGGAGACTACAAGACCAATTCAGAGTATTCAGAATCAGTATTCAGAATCCACAACGACACAGAGACAGCGCTCGGTACAGAAGAGGAAACTGAGAAAACTGTTTATAAGGACAAGAAGGTACTTCTGTACATGAAGCGTTGTGGCAGTATTGAAGAAGCTGGAGTCTGAATTAAAGCATATATCCTCAAGATTCCAGAAGCACCTGGCTGAGATTACCAGATCAGCTAGCTACCAGTGCTTGGATGTGACAAATTATCTCCCCTTCTTTTGTAACTTTTTTTCATGATGCATATTCAAATTCCCATAATACATCTGTACAAGCTAATGGAACAACTGAATACCACAAGCTTTTGGAACACCTTTTCTTCTCAAACCGATTTTGAAAGGTTGGACTTCAGTGCTTGAATTATAGGTAAGGATGCCCCCTGCTCTTCATTTGAAAAATCTTGGCAAAAATGGCTCCACTCATAGTGTTGCTGGTATTTTAAGCTGTAATTATTAAGATTTTGTTGAAAATTCCCTCATGGTGTGTCTTATTAGGATGGTCTGAGCAATATTAATAGATGAACACTGATGCATCAATACTCATGTGTAGATTTTCTGTTTGGCACAAAATGATGTTCAATGAGAGGCTAACACATACAGTTTATTTCATTAAACAAAAACACTAAGCTTTGTAAGACATTAAGAAATAGTTTAATAAATAATGCAAAACACCACTGTCAATAAAATCATAGAACTGTATAAAATTATAAGTTGCATAACAAACCTCACTAGTGGCATGAATATATACAACACAGGTAAAAGGAGGTGTCAGGAAGGCCGCAATTCAAATGAAATATATACCTAATAAAAAGGAGCTAAAATAAATAGAAATGTATAATATTTACAAAATAGAATATAAGGAATCAGTAGACAAACACATAAACCAACCTTCACAAACAGTTGTTAAAAATACCCACAAAAGAATTAGTTTTTAATGAAATCAAGATACATTTTTTTGTCTAAACAAACTTTACACACAAATTTCTTAGCGATCAATCTGAGGTGATTGGCTTTGGTAACTCGTGCCATTTTCTGGATGTTACCGGACATGCATTTTAACTGGTAGAAAAGACAGACTGCCACTTGGAGAATTCTGCTGTTACAAAGCCAAGAAATATTAAAAGACGTGTATTTTTTAATGCAGTTCAATTGGACATTGAAATCGTTTTTTTTTTCATTAACGTGAAAAGAATATGCCGGTTGCGACAGGTGAACTGAAATTCACACAAAAATCTCTGGTTTGCTTCACGAGCTGAATGAAATAATTGATGTACCATTCCAACAATACTGCAACCTGCAAAACAGCTGCATTTGTAGCCGTGGCGAAGGATACAATCATGTTACCATGCTCCTTCCCTGTCAAACTTGACTCGAGTTCTTCCTTGGTGTCAGCTTGAGGGTTTTTGTGCAGCGAGGATGTCTCGAGCAGAGCAATGCTGAAAATGTGTCATGACTGAAAAGTCCGCAGTGCAGAGGAAGCCATCTGTACTCTTGAGGTCTTAAATCTTAACATAAAAAGTGTATCACATACAGAGGCAGTATGTCTTTATAGAGCTACAAGAGAAAACAGCCCTCTACTCACACACTGTGAAACACAGTCTCTGTGGAGCCCTGCTGGCAGGCTACCAGTGGAATTCTTGGAATGGCCTTGGTAAATATAACATTTTCAATAATAATACTCAAACAGCAACTCATGTGGACATAACCCAATTCCAGAATGTGCACGATGGGTCATTTTACTTTATGCAGGCCTGGATACGAACTGCAAAAAACGTCTCGAAATGATTTATTCTGGGCTTGGGAAAGAGCAGGATTAGGGGCAAGGGGGAGAGGTGGTAGGTAGAACAGTCTGAAAAAAAAAAACGACTAGTAGCTTAAAAGTTAGAAAGCACCAATGATTATCAGGAAAGACGGCATAGATGTACAGCTGGGCTATGTATTCTGAATGTCATCTTTCTGATACTGGCATGACATAATTCTGTAGGAAGACAGTATTATCAGATGCTCGGGCAGACAGTGGTTCTGGTAGACCATTTTGATCGACATGTCTGAAGTTTCCTGGAATAGAGTAACGACAAAACTGGATCATTTGTTTAGGACAGGCCCCGAGCTTGTCTTCGTGAGGAACTCGCTGAATTTATTTGAGAAGTCCTGATCTTGCGAGACAGATTTTCTTTGTCACTACTCTAGGTGGGTGTGCCTGAACACGCTTCACAATAACATCTCAATCGACAGAGGGGATTAACGGGCACATTAATGGATTTGATTTTACAATGCATTTCTAATTGGATGTCACAAAAAAAAAAACTTCTAGAGTGCAGGAAAAACTAAGCGTACCTCAAATCTGTCTTTAATTACACTGGGGAAAAACAAAAACACAGAGATTCTTCTGTAGATAGAGGGGAAACCATGGTGATAGGTCATTTACATGTGAAAAATGTTCTTTAGCAAAGCCATAACCCCTTATGGATTATATATCATATGTGCCAGAACTGGACTTCAATCCTCTACAGTTGGTATTTAATTATCAAGTAAAATAGAACTATAAAGCAAACAAATATTCAGCTTAAGCTATTCAATATATGTTACATATCTACAATCCATTATTTCCTATCCTGTTAAGTATGTCATTATCTGTAGCGTTATCACAGAAGAAACTATATATATTGTGTTAAAAAGGTACAGAGGGAAATAAATAGCAATTAAAAAAGGCTTTAAACTAAGTTCAGCCAGGAAATGAGGAATTTGAACCGCTATGCCTGGAGTAAAATAAAATAATAATAACAACAATCTGGCCTTTTAGGAAGACAATGCACTGCACCACACATACCCTGGGAAGGTTATGGTTTAGGAGTGTTGGAATGACTATGGATGAGACAGTGGGAGCTCTCTCTCTCTCTCTCTCTCAGGTTTTCTGCTGATTTTATTGATTCAGAGAAAGTTCGGCTGGACCACGCGGCTCTTTCACCTCCGGATGTCTGTGGTCTCGGGCTCGTCTTGCTCGGCCTTGTCCGCCTCGATGCTGGAGCGCCGCGAGCCCTGGCCGCGACTTCGGGGCTGGGGTCCGGCGTGGGCCTTGCCCCCCTTCTCTCTCTCTCCTTGCCTCGAGGTCCGGGGGTGGTCCCGTTCGCTTTCGGGGGGCGGCTGAGCCGGGTCGGCGGCAGGGGCGCGGTGCGGGGGGTCCCCTTGTTTCCGGGGCTCGGGCGCCGGGGTCAGTTGGGAGGCGTGCTCCTCTTGCCTGGAGAAGGAGCAGAAGCTGAGGCTGTCGCACAGCGCGCCCCAGTTCAGCTCGCACTGCAGGCGCACGCTGCGCGTTATCGCCTCCTTCACCTCCTCCCCGCAGCTCAGCAGGATGTTCACCAGCTCCACGTAGGGCCTGCAGCCGGGACAGGCGGAGAAGACAGGCCGCGGTTATGGCAGGGAGAAGGAGGAAACGTTATACTGACGTCTGAGGCAGACCAGATGCCTCAACCCCCCCTCGTCCATCTTTTCAACACAGTATGACACAGTCAGTGGTGCAAAAACTCAACTCGACCCTCTGGAAACTCTGCAACAGACTGTCAAAATGTGACAGTGTGACACAATACTGTCATGATATGACTTCTTTAACATCCATTTTCTAACGGCTTCATCCAATACGGAGCCATAGCGGAGCCAGAGCCTATCCTGGCAAGCAACAGGTGCAAGGCAGGGTTCACCCTGAATGGTATACAGGTCTTAAACAGTCATAAAATTACAAAAAGAAACTATGCACCACTGCATGACCCCGAGACTAGTGGTAAAGTTTCTGTTCTGAGCCTCACATATCAGGACTCAATTTTAGAAAAACAAAAGAAAGATCAGGGGAAAGGGTGTACCAAATTAGAAAAATAAATTGTCCATTGGATAACAACTGTAAAGTAGCAGAAAAAACAGATTAATTTAACTTGGAGTGCTGCCTGCAGTTTCAGTTGGAAGGATCGGTTACACTTTGCCTAGGCTTCAGAAAACATTTCAAAGCCATGCTCTGGCAATCCAAACTTATTTTCTTTTGACAGCATTTGTCTTTCAGTTTCAGACTGCTTTCAGTGCCTTGAGGGTGTTTTTTTGTTGGTGAAATAAATTTCCCTCGATCACCCTGACATTCATGCTTCTATCTGCTCTGCGCTGTTTCTAAATTTGGCTGCGGAAGATTAATTGATCCTTGGGAGTCAGTGAACTTGAGCATTGTTTTGACGGCAAATAAAGGGTAATGTGCTCTTCGCCAGACAGTTTTAGTAGTGAATGAGCAACCACAAGCTCTTAATAACATCAAAAATGCCATGTGGGGCCATGTTTAATTGGCAGCTTTCTTAAAAACAAAGGTCAAAGGCTTTTAGAAGAGCACAATGTTTGACAAACTGTAACTCTGAGCTCCAATGCTACTCTTCATATGCTATAATACGGGTTTGTTTCTGGCATGATGAGCCCAAATTCGGGAAAAGACACAGTTCTCAGAACAGCCAGGCTCACGGTAAATGACACTGGACTGGAGTGCTTTTAGTTTGGCTCGGTGTTGTGCTACCAGCTCCTCTTCTAAATGGATAACCCATTTTCAAGCTAATATTTTCACCTGGGAACCCCTTCCCTACTTTAAAATGTCTCAAACACCACTTCTATTTCACCGCAAGGCAGGCACATGCAAACACACCAGGGCCAGTTTCCACCAGTCCATCGCAGGGCACACACTCACACCAGGGCCACTTAACCCACCAGTGTGTCTTTGGACCGTGGACTTTGGACTCTGGGAAGTAACCGGGGGCACCCGGAGGAAACCCACTCAAACAGAACCTGCAAACTCCATGCAGACAGCACCCCAGATCTGGAACTGAACCCAGAACCCCAGCACTGCGAGGCAGCAATGCTAACCACTGCTCCACTGTGCTGCCCTATAATCAGTATAATAATAAGCGATAAGAACAATACGTCACACACAATAGTAACAAACTGAAAGCCATGCTCTGATTATTACTGAATGAGGGCAGCCATGCTTGTACTTGTCTTGGGGGGGGGTTATGTGTTTTTCTCGGGCAGTCCAGGGGGGCTCCCCCTTTCTGTGCTATGCCTTTGGCAGGGCTGGCTGCAGGTCGTATCGAAGCTCGGGCGGCAGCACCTACCCTTTGGGAAACAGGTCCTGGAAATGGATCATCTCCACCATGACGTTGACGTTGTCCTTGGCCGCGGAGCAGAGGTTGTGCTTGATGTAGCACTCTCTCTGCAGCTGAAACACCATGTCCTTGATGGCTGGACACTTGCGGCTGATGCAGCTGAACCTGTGCCTCAGCCCGTGAGCCATACACTTCAGAGCGTCTTTGATGAAGGATTTACCCTGTCAAAGAAGAACACTACATTGGCCTGCAGAGCAATGGATCACCAACCCCTTGGATAACCACTGGCTACGTACAGCAATGGCTAACCCCTGGCTGTGTCCCAGACAGAGGCTGGCTGGAGCTGTTTCAAAGCCATCTAAGGTAGTAAAACACTAATAGCAGGAGAAGTGACATGCTCTTTTGGTTCTCATTTTCCTAGAAATAAAAATGAGACCTTTAGCAATGGCTAGGACAAAAATAAACCTTTAAAAACATCAGTCAAGGAGAGCCCAGGGCTCCAATCCCCAAAGCTTATTACCCAATACATCATCTGTGAAGTTATATATATTACTGTTCTGTAAGGGGCTACTTTTTTTCACAGCATTTTTCTTGCATCTTGCCCACGCAGAGGTATCTCCTGTTCCCCAAGCCAACAGCTCGGGATAATTCGCTATTGTATATGAAACCTCATCGATTCATGTGCAGCTGGGCTGTCTATTAAGCAACTTGAGGAACTGGTGGTCTTGAGAGTGCAGATCAGGAAGCTACAGCAATACTGCTGGGTACTGCTTTTCATCCAATCTCCTGAAACGAGGTGCAGAACCTGTTTTACTGGTAAAAAAAGCTTACACATGAGCGAGAGGAGGCTCGTTGTGCTCATTTGGTATGTTTGGTTGTTAATAACATATTGATCTAAGGATCTTGTTCAGCCTTTTCTTGAAGGAAGCCAAAGTATCAGCCTCAACCACAAGGCTGGGTTTCCTGTTCCACACTCCCACAATTCTTTGTGTAAAGATGTGCCTCCTGCTCTTGGTTTTATATACACTTTCCTTTAGCTTCCCCTTTTGTCTTTTGCTTTGTGTTTTACCGTACGTTTGGTCTGAGTAAAAGGCCTGAGAAGTTGTTGGCCCCATCGAGGTTTGGAGGACCAGCCCTCTGGAGTACAAAACTCTTGTCACAATATTTGTGTCCCAAAGAGTGCTTGCTGAATCGCATGTCAGGTTTTTACCTGCGAATCAAACTTCCCCGCATTGTGCAGGAATGTCATGCAGATCTCCTGCAGTCCCCTGATCTCGCAGGAGTTGTTTTCGAAACACTCAAAAACGCCGCATCCTACATCCCCAGCGTTTACTAGGCAATGTTGGATTTCAGCTGGGCAGGAAAAAAAAAAGAGATGACACACAAAAAAATCAATTTCAGTATACAAGTGAACATGAAAACATTGTTGAATGGCTATTGACTTGGCACCATTTTTTTAAAGAGCAACAATCAAAAGGAACATCTCAAAAGGTGGTTTGGCCCACTGTAGAGACTTCCTGAAAAAAAGGAATACATTACATAGATAAGGGCACTGTTTGAAAATACACAGTTATATATCTTTATAAGTGCTGCACTATGTGACAAGATTCATAGGGACAAGTGAAAATTAGAAGGCCTTTCGACAGCAATCAATTCTCAGCCTGTGATTTAGAGCTGCTTCCTAACCACATCTTCCTCTGCAAGGACATTGAGGAATTCCTGTGTGTTGCAAAAACACTGCAGGCGGAATTCTAGAACACCTGACATTTTGTTCAGCTGCATAGAGTCTTGACACTGGGAGGGTTTCCAGTACAACAACCTATGGAGACCGAATCACGGAGCTTAGCAGGATGGCAAAACGCTTCATTGGGTTAAAGGATAGGTTTGTCTCTGTAAAGAAAGTCACTCGTCCTTCAAAGAGAGACCTGAGGCAGGTCTCTCTGTGCCTCTCGCTGAAACCCTCACGGTTTACTGGCAAGAAAAGGGTTTATCATTGCATGGTGATCATGCAGCCATACATTTAGGGAGGTGCCATCAGCACATCTCCCAGAGCGGCAGCCAAGCCTTAATGTAATTATCCTTTAATACGCTGACAGTTAACACCTGCAGCAAAATGACACAAGCACAAGCAATGTGAAACAATAAAAAAATGCTATGATATCAGTGTATAATGTATGTAAAAGAGCAGATGACTATCACAGGAAGAAGAAAGTGGCATTACCAGGTATATGAGGCGAGGTTTTGATTAATAATGTATAAAATAAAAACCCTTTAAGTCTGTTAGAATAGCAGTATGTACTTCTTAAGAGAACTAACAGGCATTCCTGACGATGCTCTATACAATTACTCCACGCCCAATGAGTGCTCTAAATATGAAATTGCTACAGTAAGGAAACCTACAAAATGGTTATACTCTTATATAAATCTATGAAACTAAGTCACTTTTACAGAGTGTCTTGTGGCTACCTTTACCTGACCATTAGAATAAAAAAAAACACACTGGTAGGCTGTAGCTCTGAAGGAAAATGAAGAAACTCCTGTAAGAAAGGCGCATTGCTCGAATGCAGTGTACTGCAATCAGTAAAAACATTATTTTCCATTCGTGATGCAAGATGTGACACCCAGAGAGGAGTGTAACTTCAAGTTCCGTGTCGTTCTGACAAATAATTGTTGGAATTACGCAATTCTTTTCTCCCTTGGCTCAAAACATATTCTGTGGCTTTCTGACATTATTCCGCAACGCGTGTGGTTTTTAGAGACTGTACACCAGTGGGTGAGAGGGAAGCAGGTGACACCAGACTTTTGAAAACTCGGGCTTCAGCTTCAGCTCCACTGATTCTACCGGATTTGTGAAGAAGAGACAGAGGCAGAGAGAGGTTGATAAGGCACATGTCTTTTTACCTTTGAGGTGCCCCTCTGACTGAATTGCATCTATTTTTAAATTGGCATTCAAGTACTGAAAGCTTACTGGGATGCTTGCATGATGAAATACCATCTGCTCTGAGTTTACACAAGTGATGAATGGAGACAGACACATCCTTACACGATTGACCTTGTAAACCTAGGGAAGGGCACAGAAACAGCACAGCTTATGTGGGTCAAAGAGAAGACAACTGCATAAAGTTATCCCTCCTTACCATATCAACCCTGGACTACAATACGTATTTATTTGCATTTTCAAAGAGGAGCACACACAAGCTACAGTACCTCTGATAAGTCACTATTCTCAGCAGATTGTATTATATCTAGTGGAAACGGTTTATCGTCGTTATCTCAGCCTGCATTTATATATATATAAAAACAAATATCTAAATGATCTAGCACGCATATGTATACAGTATATAAAGAAGCATTACCTCTACTGTAACTACTGCAGTACCGGCCCACGTTTTAAAAAAGTTATCCTTGGCATTTTTTAAAATTCTTCTCATTTAAAAAGAATGTGTGAAGTTGATGTTAATTTACCACGAAACTGTGTTTTGAGCGCGTAGCAGTTTTTGGGCAATCTAAAACACGGTCTGATGGTAATCAAGTCGATTTTTATATCGCTTTAAGGACTACTGTTCTGGGCGTCTCCAAACCCAGTCTGTTCACGTACTGCGGTACCGGCTCCGCAGTGAAAGAATTAATAAGGTCAGTTTAGAGAAAGATACCAGTAATGGTATCTCTCCACCTACGGAGCGTGATCTTAACCATTTTAAAACCAGGGAGCTTCAGGCAAGGCCCGTCAGGCGATTCCAATGAATTATTTCTATGTAATGATCCGTATCCAAAGGTACTTGTATGATGGGCTCCAAATCCACTCCATTATTTCTGCCGCAGATGGGTTTAATTTACGAGTATTATTCTGTATCTATGTTCGCTTTGGCTACCTGTGTAAATATAACTGGTTATGATTCGTACAGTACTAAGCGGAGGTCGTACGTTTTTTTTAGTTTTTGGGGAAAAAAAGGCAATTTCACAAACGTGCATTCGTTGGTAGGACTAGGGGGAGAAAGAAAAAAAAAAACAGCCAAAGCTAATTAAAGATTTCTTGGGCCGGCTGTTTGATTTGAGAAATCCTGGTTGCTGACAGAGAGAGCCTCTGTGAGGGGAGACACAGGCTTGAGCTGTAAGTTGTGCGCCGGTAAAGTGAGGCGCTTGTGCTTGTGTTGGCATCCGGACGAGAATGTGCCTGGATCACACGAGCTGGTCAAAACGTGCATTGAATTGCACAGTGGGGTGATTGAGTGAAGGATCGTAATGTGCAAACCTGCGTCTTTTTTTTTTTTTTGAAGGTGGTGGTGTGCGTATGTGTGGGTTGGGGGAGGGGGTGTAGAACTAAATGTACAGGACATTATTTCGAGGGTTAAATTCTGCTTTATTTCCTCGTAAACATATTCCCCCCGGGAAGATGTCCAGTTTGCTCACAACAAAAGGGGACCTGTGATGATAATACTGTACAAAGGATCAAATCTTCGGGTCCGGAGACGCTTTCCTCCTCGTGTGCTGCTCATGGCGCGTTAATTCACGCTGGTTAAGTTCTTCCATCCTTCCTAAGAACCGTTATTTTAAAACGTTCGTAAAGTTACATTTCGCTCTTTGCCACGGCTAAAACACCTCACCCACATACCAGTTGAATGTTAAACAAAGCATGCCAAGCAACCAATATAATCTTTTCTGCTAAACATTTTTATGAGAGTATTTTTTCCAGCTTGGAATTTTGGCAGATACTTCACCAACATGCTACGTGTTACTAACGCCGTATAGCCACAGCCTGCTTACACTGAACGCTCTCGTTAATTTGTGTGCTGCAATTGTGTTCAAGTTCGCACATATGCACATGTATATCTTAAATATACCTTTAGGACCTGTTTCCATATGTTACTTATCCTACCTTGCGGAGTGCTATTAATAGTTTACTAAGATATTGAATGTCTTTGCTCGTGCAAGGTATCGACTTCCTTTTTTAATTGGAACAATGCCGTGCTGGGGCATAGAATATCACCTCTTTCCCAGTAATGTGCTCAGAATCAACACTATAATTTTACGCAGCCGTCGACACTTCATAAAGCAATGGAAAAAAAAAGGCAACCTCAATATTAATACAAAGCATTCATTTACTATCAAAGCAGAGCACGTGTGTACAGTACAGGCAGCTCCAGTCGTTGAAGATTTCATCAGCAAATGTCTACGGAGTGAGTCAGGCGGAACAGCAGGCTGGAGCTCACGTCCCTGCATTTCACCTACCTGTGTTTTGCAGAGAAAGCCGTCCTTTCTGCTGGATAGCTGGTTTGTCTTGCGGGTTTTCGTGATGATCAGTAATATCCGTCCCCACCGCTTGTTCGAAGACTGCAAAAATCAGGAGAATTATCGCACATTTTACTATCATTTTCCGGTCTCCTTAAAGCCTCACTTTCTTAAACCGGCACTTTAAATGAATGAAAGAGTGCAGCCAGTAAGAGGGCTCTATTTTATATTGTATGTGTGTGTTTCAGCGCGCCAGTTTCTCGGAGCGCTTATGAATTGATCAGCCAATTGTCTAACGCTTGCTGTTCAAGCAAGTACTGAACGCGTGCTGGAAAGGCGATGGATGCTGCCTATATTTTCGCAAAGCCCTGGTGTCATTTTTGATGAAGGAGTTCAGCAGGTGTTGTCATTCGTGGCTCCCGACCAATCACAGGCGCAGACATCCACGTCCAAGTTTGAGGGGCGTGGTCACACCGAAAGTTTCCCCCCTTGGATAAACTAAACTTTGTGGAAGTGTTCCGAGAGACTGTGATTTTTTATACCTTTTACGAATATTTAGACATGAAACATCTCCCTTCACTACGTAACGTTCGATGATCTGCTGAATGTCTTAAAGAAAGAGTGCATATATATATATACATTCATATATAAATTAGGCTGTATGTGAGCTGAGCGTGACTCACATGAGCAAAGCGCAAGAATTTTGGAATGTTTGTGATGCTCGTTTTAATTTCTTTATTCACCAATTCATGCTACCCGGTGTGAAGTCGCGACACCTAACACCTTTGGGACTTATTACCAATAATACTACTATATGAACAGAGACTAGATCAGTATACAGTAATGTGACGCAGTAGGCATTTTATACCAAAACTAGAATGTCAAACTTGAGACTTCATTCACACAAGCAAACTTGTCAGAGACCATTGTGGCAGCGATGTGTCAGTGTCTTCGTGTAAAGCAAAAGGCTTTTTTCCCCCAGGGGTTAGCGAATGGGGGTCGAGGTCGATGAAACAATCAGAAAAGACAATAGTTTCATTAGTCGCATTAAAACGAATTAAAAAAAAAACTCGATTTCATACATCACTAATCTTTAACAAAATCCTGTTACACGATTGCTAACGCGGTATTGCATTGCCTTTAAAACAGACTCGATTAAATGCCCTGTAATAATGCCATAGACGCCCATCACGAGCTACATAACATGCTGGGCAGGTTTCACTGAAACAGTTTTTACAAGGGAGGTCGTCGTACTATCGTGTCGCCAGAGGTCCCTGGAAATAAATGCAATTGGCCGATTATTTCACATCCTAAAAATCTTCTTATATCTTATAAATCTTCTTCTATTGCTTGCTTTGGCACCTCGTGTCAGAAATACGCATTAAGATTCTGCGTACCACTATTTGTCAACACTATAATTTAAATAATGTGGCTTCAGTCACTGGCGAAGGTAAATTACAAGGTTTCTTTGCACTAATAGCGGACAAGAACCGTCTCTGCTAAAATAATTCATTGGACTAAGGCTGCCAGCCCTCCCTCTCCTACATTGAAGTAGTCAGTGAAACTGCTTGGCAGGCACTTAACTGGAAGAACCCACGATTTCCACGTTTTACTACAACATCTTCAAATACCGGTCACGTGTACTTTAATGTGTACTTTTAAATACAAAACTTGCTTTTAATGAAGGTTTAGCTTGAAACTGAAGCATGAACATTCTGTTTTGCAAAAACGTGAATCGCATCCCTTTTGAAACCTCGAGCAGTGGGCAAATTGATGTGGATCTTTATAACAGCAATCGCAGTACCCCTGATTCACCGTTTCAAGTCGGTGGTAAAATCAACGCTTTGCACTTTTTGTCTCGCCCCGGAAGATTCTTTGAAGTTGTAAAACATTGCGGAAATATCGGACATTTGTAATTAAATGTCATGCACTATAGTTAAAAATGAAGTCCAGTGCAACACATTCTGTGTTGTCTTATTTGTGGCAGACCGAACGAGTTAAAAAAAAAAACCCAGGAAATCCAAGCACACATTTCCTAACATTCTTTCAACATTTTAAAGTGACATAAAACATCCAAAAAGTAGAGGGAACATTTAATGAAAAAACAATAGGCCCGATTTTTTAGCATGGGCACGTTGCCCACCCAATTAAATTACTATGTATGGGGCATCTTGCCAGCAGTTGTCCGCTGGGGAAAACAAGGGTCACTTAACTTTTTAATAGCGAAGGTGAGACTTTGAAATGACAGGTTGGTAATGAAATGTTCTTTTATCTCAGTTCTCTCGCCGATCAGTCTTCTTCATGTCCCCCCCCCTAAAATTTCAGTGAATTGGGAAAACAAATAGTCCTGCCTTTGGCTCAAGAAGCTAATTAGGTAATGTGGTGTAAAAGGACGAGGGGTCTTTCACGCACAATGGTGCATCACAGGTTTTCAAGACCACAGACACTGCTTTTCAGCCAGGGCACGACCCTTCAGGTCGCTGGCTGAGCTATCGCCCATCGCGCTCCTCGTCTAACCTAAATCGAGAGGGTCATGAGATTGCATACACAGTAATGCATGTGTCCTTCTTTACTGTATGTCTTTGGAGCAGCCTGATGTGAAGGATGCCTGGTCTCTGTGTTTCATTATATTCGAGTAGCCGTTGCTGCCAAGCTCACAAAGAAAAGGGGGCAAGAGCAGTAATGCTTGGCAGACATTGCATCACTCAGCCATATCTTACTGGAGACAGCTGCTCCATTCAGCACAGGCTGCACAAAGGCATGTTTGGAGAGCTGACAGTCACACTCATGCTTAATTTGGGCTGTTTTAGATTTTCATTCGGGGTAATCACGTGATCACTGGAACCACAGGCCATTTTGGGGGTTGTGGTTCAAAGTGCAAACAGTTGGAAACCTTGTGTAGGAAATTAATACCATACATATTTCGCTTACTATTTCTGATGTTATGGTTGCTATTAATAAACTTACTAATAAGATGAAAAATCATTATTATTGCACACTTTTATGTAATGTCTTTAAATCCCCAAGGATCTCAGCATGCTTTAGGTCTACAAGGGAGCCCACTTCGGTCTCCATTGTAGGAATCGCATGTATAATGTTATGTCAAAAAAGCAGTCTGGAACTGTTTTTCTGTCACAAAAAGTCATCCTATTAAGAATGAAAGATGCAAACTTGCATTTCCTGTCTCAAAGTTTGTCATTTCCAAAGATTCCTTATAGAATAAATGTTATCAGAAGGTAGGGGATAAAATCTACTTGTTTAAATGCTGCCAGTGCTGTTCACTATATAGGTTACTAATTGTATTCATGTATAAGAGTTTTGGACTTCCTTGACAACAAATAAGAAGAACAGAGGGATAATACAAAAGCATTTTCAATTTCATGGAATAATCAAGAATTAATATGACCTACTTTATGTTTTTGATTTACTACCCTGCTATATGCAAACATTTAGAAAATATCGTGATTTGGACAGCACTTTGAAAACAATCTATCTCTTGGCATTTTTTATTGCAATCTGAAACAGATGGTACTAACCATTGCAACTCATAATTAACCACTGTCATGTAATTCCCATAATTCAAAAACCATTTTATTTTTAGGCAGTACAATATGTCTTTCGAATTGTTTAGCTACAAAATATAATGAACCAAATGGATTTATTGTATACAGCACCACTGTGAAACACTATATTATGAAACATTTTTTATTTGAAAACTTTGCCATCATTTTCGGATTGACTTTAGCCTGTGTTCACTGTGTTAACAGTGATTATCAGATATGTGGTGTCAGTATATGATAACAAAATTCACACCAAGTAACTATGTAAACTTCGTATGTTGTGTGTTTGGTAACTAGCTGGTGCGTGGTGTTGAATTGCATTCTAGGAACATTCTTGGAGTTGGAACATATGTCACAGACACTCTTGTCTTCTTAGCCAAAAATAAACTCATTCTGGACAGGCCAATACCACTACTACTAAAGTAACCCTTGCGATAAACTTTCCTGTACACAGCCTCGTAGTGTCTCGTACAAAAACCCGTTTCTGTAAACACACTGAAAGCGTCCCATCTGAGTTACATCTAGTACAGTACCTTTCTCCTTAAATTAGGAAGTTATTGATCCCGGTTATGTACGCCCATAAGAACACACCCACGCTAAGGACCAATCAGTAAGAACTAGAAAGCTGCTGCTTAAAAGGCGCTTTTCAGCAAAAAGCGAGATTTTAGCACATTGAACGTTGAACGGCGCTCAAACGATGGAGAGAATAAACTGCAACGAGCGCATGTTACATCTTAACAGTCACTTTAAGGTAAAGTGGCTGTTGCGACCCCTAATAAGACCCCTTTCCCCCTGATTTTCGATAGTAATTTTTTAAATAATATTCAATTTTCTTACCAGGCAGTAGCATTGTCGAGTACCTCTTCGTTTTCGCCAGCCCCTTAAATGGACAACGAAGAAAACGGGAGATCGAAATCATACGTTTAAGGGAGCTTTACTGATAAAATGTGCACAAAGAACACAATCACCAACAAAGTTTGGAAAATCTAGGCTTTACATCGCAGTTAACGTTTGTGTGCAGATTGAACAGCAAAACAGGAGCCAGAGGAACTGGTAGAAACTTCATGCACGTGCATTTAAAACCGTGAACAGGAGGCAGGAGTGAACCCAAAGAGTTGTGGGAGTGTGGAGCAAACACGACAGCCGTGTCGTTGAAGCTGATATTATGATTTCTGTTAACTTACCAAATGGGTTAGATGAACTAACAGCCTCTCGTTTGTAAGCTTTCTTAGGATCTTATTCAGAATCTTCGTTTTTATCCGCTGTTTCAATGCTTGTAGGGAGTTCTGAAACGAATCTTAACAATGTCCATACGCAACGTTTTAATTATTAGGAACAGGTAAAGATTTATTCCATGCTGAAAGGAAAAGAAAAAAGGTATGTTTCGGCTACGGAGCCTTCTTCAGGTGTCTCTACCTGAAATTTAATTATTAGGCTTTTTTTATAAGACAATGTTTTATAAGAGAAAGTGAAACAGCTCTCAGCCAGGTTTTAATATAGAACTGCAATAAAATTTAACCTGAAACGAAAATTTAAATGCATTTTTTCTACTATAGAGGACAGAATTCTAAATTGAAATACAAATGAATAATGAAGTATGTAAATTACTTACGTGCATCATTATTTTTTTGTGCTTTAAGATATGGTTATGTTGGCACAGTGGCGCAGGGGTTAGCTGTCTCACAGCACTTGGGCCCTGGGTTCAGTTCATAGGGTGTTCTCTGTGTGGAGTTTGTATTTTTTCCCCATCTTTGCACGGGTATCCTCCAGGTTTTCTGGTCTCTTCCCTTAGTTCAAGGA